CCCCCCCGGCCTCGCTTGAAGCCAAGTGGCCGGAGCCCCTCAACCCAATTAGACATCAGACATCGCACACCCTGTACCTCTGTCATTTGATTAGCGGAGATCGATAATCACATTAAGATGATTGCTCTTTGTTTTCCAGAACACCCGACCAACGTTTCCATCCGGATCCACCTCCTGAGCTTCGATTCCGTGAGCGAAACCACAATGGTGAGTGAGACAGCATTATGCATTCTGGTTGGTCTAACTTTGGACCTTTAGTATGTTCCCCATTCATCCTTGTGTCCCTTGGCTTTTTTTCCTAGTTAAAGTCTTGGAAGTAGTTTTGTGGTTCACTAACCTCTGAGGATAGTTAGAGGGCGCCACTGATGGGTCATAGTTCTTTTCTATCCCTCCCTCCGATGTAATTATTTGTCTGTCTGTCTGTCTGTCTGTCTGTCTGTCTGTCTGTCTGTCTGTCTAACTTTTCCCCTGCACTAAATGACCGTTACTGTTTCGATGTGCGTCTCTTTACACAGACAAAGAAGCAAACAATGCTAACATTTTCAGGATAACGAGTGTTTGTTCAGAAAGTGAAGAATCCCCCAAATCACCAGGAAAACCAGGAACGAGACTTTCTACTCGATATATAGACCCGAGCTCAGCATTTTTATATTTTTAGCGCAATAGTCGAGGACACAATCTCTTGGCAACCTCTTCCAAATGAACTGGTTCAAGGGACAGAAGAGGGAGGGAACAAGAAATGGGAGTGAAAAATGTCTGGTTTGCTGAGAATGGTAAATAGAAGATGCTATCGTAAAAGATCATGTACGATCTTTTTTTTTAAATGTACGTTCTTTTGATATGTTTGGCTGTTCTAATTTTTAGAGTGTGCTTAGAGAAAACGACAAACAGCGGTATAATTGTGAGGTTCGTTTTAATTTGCTGGTTTTCACCTTTAAGAAGCTATTTCCCCTTGGTAGCTATGAATGAATTCTGAAGGTTTTGAACTCTGGGCCCAGTGGCTTCTACGTTTTGTACGCTGAATTCCATTCAATGTTTGATCTTGATCTTCCTAAGCAGAATAGGCTCTCACGCTCTATGGAGAATCATTGTATTTCTAACCGGATGTTTCCCACAATCACGTGCGACGCCATCCTTCCATTATTGACGTTGATCCGGTGTTCATTGATGTCATAAATCACACACAATGGTTTCGGCATTATTGGATGTTCCGGATTTGTCAGCACCCACATGTGGGAGGGAGTAGGGATTGATTAATTGCTCTCGTGTGATTTTCCCATTTTCCCCTTAGTGTGTCAAAATAATATTATTGTAACAGGTTTCGACAACGAATCCGCATTATTCACTGATTATATCATTGCAGAAATAGCATGACTCTCAATTTTGTTTGATCAACTCCAAATTCTGTCGTTTCTGATCTTGTATAGTACAGAGGCGCCTCGCATGGTGCTGGGTTTTAGAATCCACAGTCTAGATCTAGTCAAATCTTTGTCAGTGTTGTCAACACACATTTTGTGTGGCGTCGTTGGCCTAGTGGTTAGGCTGCCGGACTCGTAATCATCGTGAGCCTCAGCTCGGTCCGACGTTGAGTCCTTGGAAAAGGCACTTTACACGAATGTCCCCACTTGGCTTGGTCCTTTCGGAGACCGACGTTAAACTCGGAGGTCCCGCCTCTTAAATAACCTAACAGTGTTGATAGGGACATTGAATTGTTACCATTATCCCACACTTTTGCAGCAGCTCAGTCAAGGATTGATCGCTCCATAAGCTAAATTGGAAAGCTTCGGTTCGAATCACAGTCTGGGGGCTAAAGAATTCGAGTCATTGTGTGGAATTTCCAAGGTTCCCAGCCCATTTTGGCTCGTTCCTATCGGAGACAGACAGTACATTGGGAGGTCCTACCTCCTAGGTAATCAACTGATAGTGTCGGTGTGGCCGCATAATCAATTGACTTACCTACCAGTCAAGGACGCGAGAGTAAACTTAGAAGAAACCATTCACCAAATGATGAGTTGAGTCTAGACGGTTTGCGCGTATCTCGCTGATAGATGAACGCTCCTGTCATTTCCTGAACAGCTGCAGAAAGACGAGACGGTTCCCGGGTGTGAATAGTTCAATGAGAGGCGTCGTGGGGAAATCAGAGGCTCGTCAAAATAATCAAAGTGGAGAAACTGGCATTTTTCTGCAGATTTGTGATTTTTTATGGAATTTTCGGTTTTTGGCTCAACACCTTTCATTAAAGAACACATTTCTGTGGGGACTTTACAGAAAAACGTTTTTTAAAGGCACAAATAGTGTGCATTTTCAGTTTCCACAGACTCTCTAGCTAAGGAAAAGAAGGTATATTTGGCAGCCATTTTTTGACTTATTTTACCCCCACCTCCTTCATTCGCAAATATCTCAAATTCTATTCAAGATGAATTGATATATTTTTTCATCCAAAGCAAGACAAATAAACAAGCGTTAAGGCAGTGCCAATGACTTTACATGCCCAAAAATTGACGACCGCTTGATTCCACCGCGTCGTGACACATAGATGTTTGTAGGTGACGTCATACAGGGAGATAAGTCTGGCGTCCGGTAGATTCAAGGGCTGGTGCTGGTGCTGTCTGCTACCTCGCCCCAGAGAAGGGAGGAGTTGTGGCACAGATGTGTGAATGTTTTTGTATGTGTACTTTACAGAAGTTTGTTGCAACCAATCCGTACGGCCTGGGGTCATTTTGTACCCTCAGGGTTGTATTCTTCACATTTTAAAATACTTTTAGTACAAAGATCTCTTTGACACTTTCAATATTTCTCAAAAAATAATTTTGACAGACAAATATGTAAAGTGAACGGATCGGATTAACGAGTAAATTTTCTCTTTGGAAAGTGGTAGGCCAGAGTTCCCCACGTCGTATGGATATGATAGTTAAACACGACGTACGGATAGGGTTAAGTGGTGGCATAGAGTTCCCCACGTCGTATGGATACGATAGTAAAACACGACGTACGGGTAGGGATTAATGGTGTGCATACATTTTTCCAAAGTTGTGAAAATATTTTGCCTGCATAATAATTGAACAAAAACAGCGAGTGTTTTACAACATAATATAAGCAATCAAGATCTCCCCCCCCCCCAACCAAATCAGCACAGACAGCAAACACCAGTTTTGTTTTTAAATACACATATAAGGAGAGATGTAGGTTTCTTTCCCCCATTTGTCACAGGCCGCTCCACTGCGTCTGTAGTTCCTAACAAATGGCTTCGAGCGATGTAAATCCAGAATTTGTTCTTGTCTAGAAATAGAATACTGTTACGTGCAATGCACCCCAAGACGAGTGTAAAGCAAGTGAAGGCTTTCGTGGCCTACAGGTCAAGGTGTTCACCTCTCTAAAATTATCTCCTTTCACCTCCTTTCCAGCTCTCTAACAATGTTCTGTCGTCTGCTTTTGTCTCCTCTTACTGACCCCACCCCCTCACCTCCTTTGTCCCCTTCTCCGGGCTCCTGACTCTTTCTACAGCCTTTCTACTGCTACTCCTTGGCTCCTCCTTACTGCTGTCTTTCAGCCACGCCCCTGAAATTATATTAGGAAAGATCTACACTTAGCCTTTTCAGATAAAAACGAAAAATATCGGAGGTTCTGTGTGCAAATTGCTCACGTTAAAGATCCCATGGTGGTCTAAAACCGATAATAAAAATAGGCTTCGGCCGCACCCGAGCAAAGTTTCCAATTTCCTACTAACTGAAAAAAATGTTTCATGTATCCCGCGCGGTCATATGACCTTATGCAGTTGCGAGCTCCCTAGTAAAATATTTACCAAAAAAAAACCCCCCACCCCCCCTCCAAACAAAACAAAGCAAAACAAAAAAATCTGGGAGAATTTGTAGAGTGAGCCCCGCGGCTGTGCGATGTTTGTCGTCAGGACTACTCCGTGGAGCTGTACATAACGATGAACTGGTACGACAGCCGCCTGGACTACCACACACTCCACGAGGCACACTGGCTGGAGGTCGACTCCAAGATGATGCCCATGGTATGGGTGCCCGACGTCTACTTCAAGAACGAGAAGAAGGCGTCCTTCCACAACGTGACCGTTCCCAACCGTTACATGCACATCTATCACTACGGGGAGGTGCAGTACAGCATGAGGTTAGAGGAGGGGGAGGGGAGGAGGGGGAGGGGA